ATTCAAACTGATCCTGTGTGGCTCACGTGGATGAGCTGTACAGATTTCTGGGCCAGTGCGTCAACGCTCACTTCCGACCTCCCGCCTACCCATCACACCTCCCCCCTTTCGGGTAACCCGTGACCACTAATGCCTCCTTCATCCCCATGTGCGTACCCCTTCCTACAAATATTTCATTATTCCACTAACTGATAAAGGTCCTTATCCAATATCCTAATTCATCACATACCTAAGACCACGTCCAGTTATTATTAGTTGGTATCCCCACAGACGTACGCCTATGTCCAAAGGCGCAGTTGCATTTAAATGACAAAGTAGTATTTCATTAGTCAAGAACAAACATACACGAGGTCTGGCAGCACTGCCCTATGAAACCAGACTGTCAACTCTCAACCTGTTTCCCTTATATTAACATTTCGCATTATCAACGGCCTAGACTGTTGTTCAGATCCCACTGATTAGTTTACTCAAGCTAACACGCCCACCTTGCGCGGTCATCCCCTAAAACTACGCGCAGGGAAAGAAAGGATCAATGGACGAAGGTTCTTTTTCAGTAGTAGAGTAGTTGCAGCGTGGAATGCCCTGCCTACCGATGTTGTAGTTGCCTCCTGTGTGAATTCCTTGAAGTGTAGACTTGACGCTTATCATGCTTCCCAATCACCAGCCTCACATCCACTCACGTAACCCGACACTAACGTGTATGTTTGTGCTACTTGGAAGTAACCGTTAATGATTACTATTTTACGGCTAGCTGGCAGCTGTCCGGCGTTATGTACAAAATTCCTTTTTCACCTTCACACATATCAATGGTTTTTCCCTTAATAAACAGAAACACCCCAATGACAATCAGAAGAGGTCTGATATATGAAGGTGGGTTGCTGTGCGACTATCTGTGGACGCTCTAGCTCACAGCTTTGAGCAAAACGGTCTCGAACGTATTTCGTCCTGCTTTCAAACGATATCCAGGTGACTTTGCAAATCAGCAGGCCACAGCCAATGAGATAACTTGGCAGAATGCGCATTCTGCCATCGCCTCTTCCAAGTCCACATAAACAACCGTTTCAACCAGATGACACATCCCAATATTTGGGAAAAAAATAGCACATCTTTCGGTGCATTTATCGTGCTTTTTATTTTAGTACTTGTCAGCATTAACAGAAACAGTGTATGAGGAGTATAGACACAGATCATTAAATCGCAATGTCAGGGGACACGTGATTGGTGTCAACACCCATAATGAGCGCATTTCCGGACAAATGGCCTAAAATGCGCCACCAGCAAAACTGGCCAATGTAAACGCGGCTGACCGTCGAAATTCAAGTCTGATGCTGTCTAGATGGCTGACTGGTCGCCCTCGGACCAGCCGACGCAGGAGATGGGCAATTGGCCCAACTGCTGTATCAAATTCACGTCAAGTCTGGCATCCTACAGCAGGGCCTCGGGATCACTCTAGTCGCGGGCTAGCGGGCGAGCATGCGTGAAGTTGGAATGCTGAGAACGCAGTCCGACGAATGAGAGTCCATCACAGTAAACCTGCAGACAGGAAGGGATGGAAGATGGGGGCGGAGAGAAATACGTTGTCAACAGACGTCAGACACCTTTGCCATGCATAGTTTACACCAGTGTGCACACAGCACGAAGGCTTTGTCGTGTATCCGTCACACAGTACCCTCAAGCAGCATTATCTCCGCAAGCAAGCATCTAGAAATGAATGATCGTGAGCGATGACTGCCCGAAATCCTCCTTTTGCATAAAGTGCTCTAAGATTACATTCATACTGATGTACGGCACTGATCTGCTTTCCATCATTCAGAAAAAGGGACCTTTGCTGCAATTTTCGCAGGAAGTCCGGGTAGTGCATCACTGCCTGTCATTATCGGGACAGGGTTCACTGCGGGCAGTCATTCTGGAGAATACGGCCGACAGATTGACTGTCCGTTTTATCCTTATCTACAGGCGTGAGATGTGTAACTACCTGCAAGCCAGGTAAGATATTTGCAGAAGAAAAGACCCAGATCTAGCATGATACTACTGCGACGTCTCAAACTCTCACTCCAGTCCGCCATCAAGGATCAATGAAAACATCGAAGGATATTGAATCCCAGGACCTTGTAGGACATAGGTGTGTGTGCAAGGCAGTTCACTCTCCAGACGTGCCTTAAAAGCAATACTTTACTGACGTGTGTGCCAATTAGCGGTCTCTGTATGCTAGCATCCCCACCCAATCTTCAGAGTGTACAAATTGACTGCGTATTGTAGTCGACGGTATCTGCCTCATTTGTATGTCGCATTTCCTCATGCGACTTTAAAGGTGTATCCTGATCTACATCTACATCACTTTGTAAATACACCCAACACCAAACTACATTGGAGAACGAGCATTCCTCTTAAGGCCTCGTAATCAGTGATGGTGGCGACGAGGGGCCCACGGGAATAAGCAGGATATTCTTGCCTCCTTGGCGCCTGTCGCAGATAGCGGATGCTGACGGAATGGGCCTCCTCGTAGGCACCAAACATTTGATTTTTGCGGCGGGCCCTGAGGCCAATTCGGAAGGAGACGAGCAGTCCTTAGCGTCAACCAAGTCCAAGGGGATTGAACATGCATGCTCTACAATGATTCCGATAGGAGAAGATGCAGTTGGATTTTTAAAATTGCAAAATGCCCAATATTATCTGGCACAGCATAAATGCAGATATATGCGCAATTAGTCCTGACGGACAGGGCGCATCGACCTGTAACACTATTTAACTGTGGATGCAAAATCAATGAAGACATGCCCAATCTTAAGTGGGCTCTGGATTTTGTCCTACTCCAATGCAGGTCTCTTCTCGTAGGTTCGCGTACCAGGTCGGTCACGGTTGATGAAAAATGCAATCTTGTGTCGAAAGATAGCACGATCTCGTAAAGGTTCAGTCTCGTCTTCGGGGCTCAGTCTGATATTTTTATGTTGATTTAATTCAGGTCTGAGAACCGCCTCAACATCAAAAGATGGTTTTCGTGTCAGCAAGCTTGACAGAATGTGTGTAGGTATGACCCTCATGTCTAACTCTTCTTCTTCTCCATGGTACGGCTGCGATCATGCCTGATCTAGTCGGCATCATCGAGGCCTTCTCTGCCTGTCAGTCGCATTTATATAACATCATTCGTTCTTTCGCCTGTGTTAGAGAGAGGGAGAGGGAGAGAGGGAGCACGATAGATCTCATTTTGCAAGTGTCATTCCAAAATTTTCAGCAAATAGGCCTCCATCCACAGTGCATAAAAATGGGGCATGCAAAGCAGATACATCTCGTGACCGGTCTCATGAAATGTTGGTCGAAATGCTGCATGGAGTTTTCGGTTAGGAAGGATTACTTAGGTGGGGTTGTAACATTGATTATCATACGGCATAACGCTATGCTATTACGGACTCACCAAGATGTCGCCTTTTGAATGCACGCAACACGAAGCCGCCATGGAGAACAAGCATTTCGCTTAAGACGTCGCAATCAGTGATGGCGGAGACGAGGATGGGAGGGAGGGAATGAGCAGGATATTGTTGACTCGTAGGCGCAGATAGCGGATGCTGACGGAAAGGGCCTCCTCGTAGGCACCAAACAATTGATTTTTGCGGCGAGCCTCGGTGAGGCCAATTCGGAAGGAGGAAGGATACGAGCAGTCCTCAGTGTCCACCAAGTTCATGGGGATTGAACATGCACGCTCTACAATGATTCCGATAGGAGAAGATGCAGTTGGATTTTTAAAATTGCAAAATGCCCAATATTATCTGGCACAGCATAAATGCAGATACATGTGCAATTAGTCCTGACGGACAGGGCGCATCGACCTGTAACACTATTCAACTGTGGATGCAATATCAATGAAACCATGCCCAATCTTAAGAGGGCTCCGTATTTTGTCCAACTCCAATGCAGGTCTCGGTTAGATCGCAGTTGGTAGCCAGAAATGGGGTGGCGGACAGCCAGGTCCCTGTCGTACGGCAATGGTGGGAAAGAGGGTTATATAGGTGGGGTAAATGGAAGGGCTGTTTCTGCTGTTTCTGGGTAAAAGTATATTTACCAGAGAAAGTGCTGTGAATTTATAAGTAGGGAGAATAATGGCAGGAATGTAAACCCCACGCTTATCCCTAAAATCCAACCCCTGACGGCAACCGTAAGGCCTAACCCTAAGCCTCAAAACCGACACGTAACCAAAATCCTACGACCCAACGCTTACCCAAAACCTAGCAATAACCCTAACACCAACCTTAAGCCTATCCCTAGCCCTAACTTTAAGCCTGAACACAACCTTAAGCCTAACCTTAGCCCTAAACTTAACATTAACAGTGACCCTAACGGGAACCTACTGACAACGAGTACGTACGTCGACAGTATCAGCACAATGTCTGGCTAATAACTGCGATCTTACCCAGGTCTCTTCTCATAGGTCGCGGTTGATGCAAAATGCAATTTTGTGTCGAAATATTGCATGATCTTGTGAAGGTTCAGACTCGTCTTCGGGACTCAGCCGGATATTTTCATGTTCATTTAATTGAGGTCTCAGAACCGCCTCCACATCAAAATATGGTTTTCGTGTCATCCATCTTGACAGGATGTATGTAGGACTGCCCCTCATGTCTTTCTCTTCTTCCCCATGGTACGGATGCGATCATGTCTGATCTAGAAGGCATCATCGAGGCCGGATCTCTATCTCTGTCAGTCGCATTTATATAACGTCATTCGTTCTTTCGCCTGTGTTAGAGAGAGAACGACAGAGCGAGCGCGATAGATGTCATTTTGTAAGTGCCATTCCAAAATGTTTACCCAATAGGCCTCCATCCACAGTGGATAAAAATAGGGCATACAAAGCAGATACAGCTCGTGACCGGTCTCATGAAATGTTGGTCGAAATTCTGCATGGAGTTTTCGGTTAGGAAGGATTACTTAGGTGGGGTTGTAACATTGATTGCCATACGGCATAACGCTATAGTAATTCGGACTCGCCAGGATGTTACAGTTTCA